GGGGGGGGGGGGGGATCCATGACGCGCCAGGTAATGGTGACTACTAAACCATTTAATGGTAAGGTTCACTTTAGCGTTTTAATTTGAATTTGTTATAAAAATAAGTGGTTTGTTGATAATCGATATCACAACTTGCACGCCTCTTCGTTTGCAAAGAAGTCTAGTACTCAGCAAAAACCAAAAACTTTCAAAATGTTCAAGCTGGTAAGTTCAAAAAAAATGTAATTTAAAAAAAAAAAATTATTTACTAAAATAACATTTCATCATTACTACAGTTCACTGTCTGCTTCTTGGCTCTCTTCGCTGTTGTCTTCGGCGCTGCCAAGCCCGGTCTATTGGCTGCCCCAGCTATTTTTGCTGCCGCCTATGCATCACCAGTAGTCGCTCCATTTGCCGCTGCTCCAGTGGCTTACACCGCCGGTTATGCGCCCTACATTGCTCCCTATGCCAGCAGCTACTCCGCTCACTCAATCGCCCACTCTGCCGCTTTCCCAGCTGCTTATGCCGCCGCACCAGTTGTTGCCGCACCCGCGCCAGCGTTCACTTTACTTCGCAAATAGATAGATGCTGTGACACGGAAACTCTAGCCTTGAAACTATGTTAAATACTACTAGGTTGTGAACTGAAATAAAATGAGTCTGAATATCTATTCGAAATTTTTTTGTCATTATTTAAGGATAGTTGTTTTGCGGATAGAGCTACCTAGAAATTTTGATGTCATTGGATCAGCGACTGACTGATCAGAGTACAATAGTGAAGACTCATTATCATTTTAGGCAGCCAAAGAGCGGTACGTGTCTATTTTTCTGCCCAATAAAAGCACACCTAGTCCCCTATTTAATCAACGATCCGAGAATCTGATACTGTTTTTTTAATAAATATTAAAACTAAGCCAAGGATACACTACACTATTCCTTTACACCAAGGTGCTGAAAATAATCAGAAGTATCAGTATCAGAAAGTATCAGTTTTATGGCATGACAGTATGAACTTAATCAACCCAAAATTTTTTACAGAGTGCTAAAATTTCCTCTTTTTGGTGAAAAATTTTATAATTTTTTATGAAACATTATATTTCCAGTTTTTTGGTGACCCGTACTAAAATGTAATGTTTAACATTTTTGTTGAAGACTTCAATCTCTAAAAGCCATTTTTTTTAACCGGGATAAAAATATTTCTTTCTGGCAAGGGTTAATGCGTTTAATTGCTAAATTCTTCTAAATGCATCCAAAGACGTGAGTTATGGAATTCTCCATAAATCGGCATGTGTGAAAATTCGATTTTTAATAAGAAAAAAATTGCAATTGTGATCCAGTGTATGAAGTAGTGTATGATCATGATACAAAAATAGTAAGATAGAACCGCTGAGAGACACTTTTAGCAATTTTGACGTTTTCAAGCTTTATAATTTCAAAATTTACTCACAAATTCACACACACATTCACATATTCAATCTCAAACAACACGACCTTTGAGCAATTTTATTTAAGTTTTTTTTTTCAGTTTTATATGATTTTAAATTGCTGTCAAACTTAAAAAAAAAAAAATCATGGCCGACGAATTGAGAGAACGGTTCTACCTTCCTATGTTTTTATCATGGTTAGGATGAGGTGCAGCAAAGTACTTGCCGGGCTTAACCACCTCTTACAAAACGTCTGAAATTTATAGATCAACTGTTTTTAGTAATTTCACTGTACTTTTGTACTTGGAAATTTCAAAAAAAAAACTAAAATGTATACATCACCAACGTGGCTCAAAAAAGCCCATTTTAGGTTCACTATTCCTACTACTACTTTCCAAAATAACGGTATTGTTCAATTGGCAATGAGTAACGTTAAATAACTGTTTTATCGAAGTAATCACATTTCATACAAACTGAGTTATGAATGGGGTGATTGACTCGGATTTTCCAAACCGGTTTTTACCGTTTTTTTTTTTGATAACTATAGACCGTATTTTTGAAATCTTGACTTTTCAAATATCGTATAAGCCGGATTTTTTTATCGAATAACCTTGTTTCTTTCATTTCATACAAATCTTGACTTCTCAATAAAGTATTGACTTCTTAATAAAGTGAAATGAAGCTCTTGTTTTCTGGTGGGTTCTTCGATAGAATCCCATCTGAATATCGGTAAAGAAAATCGATATTATCTAATTTTGTTTATGCATAAGCGTGTGCTCTTTTTTCCTCAACTTCTGTGTGATAGTCTATTTCTTGAGCGGGCCATTTGGAGTTGTCTTCTTGCAACCAAGAAGGTCCCTGCCACCACAAAAAATTATTGATCAACTCCAACGCAGGCAATCCTCGGCTAGCCAAATCGGCTGGATTCTAAGCCGAGTCTACACGTAACCAGACCTTGTTCCCAACTTTTTCTACGATTTTCGTAAATTGGGGTGCGACGATGGTTGACCAAGTACAAGGAGGATTTAGTATCCACGCGAGTACGACGGTCAAGTCTGTCCGAAGATATGTTTTTACTTGCCCTAGGTTGAAGTTGTTGATTACGGATTCTATGATTTATGCAAACAGCACGGCTCCGCAGAGTACCAGTCGAGGCAGCGATATATACTTGACAGGAGCTACTTTAGTTTTTGCTAAAAGAAGTAGAAGACACAGTCGCATCCCAGTCTGTGCCCTCTAGCTAAATACTTTGCATGCGTATTTTGGCCACGATGACTTTTATGGCAAACCATCCTAGCGGATCAAATAGCTTCTCGATAGCTGATAGTATCGCCCTTTTTGTGAGTGTATCGCGTCCTCGAATGGTTTGCCATGAAATAGAATATACCGGTATGGGCATATGCCCATATGCCAAGTGCCTTAACCATTTCGGTAACTTCAAAACGCCAAAAAGTCTTCACTGAGTAGGTCCGTTTTTGGGATGTTCTTTAGAATTTCCGCACAGTTTGAGGTCCACTTCCTTAGCGGAAAACCGGCTGACCTTAGACCGGAAGAGATTTCGTCTCTTGCTTTTACCCATTTTCTTGTTCTACCCAGTTATCAGGTAGTTCCATCCAGTTCTAGTCTTGCAGCACGAGAGCCCAAGAAATCGGCAGTTAGTAGATACAAATCCTTTCTACCCAATTTGCTGAAAACCGAAGTCCGTTTTACGTAGTAGGTCAGCCACAAGCTTCTACAGACGCAAAGCAAAAAATAAATAAGCACAACATAAAATTTTCGTATCCTTCTAAAATACTGTTTTATTTTATTTCCATTTAGTTCATCAACGTACATAAATAAGTATTGTCTATTTCTTTAGAACAGCAAAACCGGGCGCAGGAGCGGCAACAACTGGCGCAGCAGCGTAGGCAGCTGGGAAAGCAGCATAGGCAGCGGGGAAAGCAGCGGAGTGAGCAATCGAATGAGCTGAGTAGCTGCTGGCATAGGGAGCAATGTAGGGCGCATAACCGGCGGTGTAGGCCACTGGCGCAGCATAGGCGGCGGCAGCAACTAGAGCGGTGTACGCAAGAGCAGCTGGGGCAGCTAATAGACTGGGCTTAGCAGCACCGAAGGCAACAGCGAAGAGAGCCAAGAAGCAAACAGCAAACTATATAAAAAGAGAGAAAAAATAATTTCGTCAAAATAGTGTTTCGTAGCAAATAAAGGTTACTGCTGAACTCACCAGTTTGAACATTTTGAGAGTTTTGGTTTTTTTTCCGAAGAATAGACTTCTTGGCGAATGAAGAGGTTTACGAGTTGTGATTTCAATTGTAAACAAACCACTTGCTTTTATACCCAGCTCATTTTTTAAACACTCTGCTATATGAGCCCTAAAGGACCTTGAAGAAGTTACAGTTATGTAGCACACATATTAAATAGCCCAATAACTGCGCCTGCTTTGTAAGTGCATTCGGTTTAAAATAAGCGCGGCGCTTTAAAGTCATATAGCCAATAACGGTGCGTTGTTAATCTTTTCGTTTGCTTAGTTTTCTTGACACGAACTTGCATAAAGTTAAGACAATCGCACAATGGAGAAGTTGTCACAGTTTCTATAAGTTTTGCATTTCATAGCTTAGTTTACAATGGAGTAAAAAAGCTGATGAAATTGAAACGCTGCTACGATGTAATATAAAAACGAGAATAGGAGCAGATTTTTTAGTTTGAAGAAAATATTTTCCACGCAGCACAACAGTTCAGAAAATATGAACATTCATTTAATTTGAAATTTTTTGTTGACCTTGACATGTGCACATACATATGTGCATACATTTAGCTACTTAGTATTAGCGCTGACTTAACAAGAAATGAGGCATTAACTCCTATGCTCCTTTCCTTAAAACTACGTATTAGCCTACATTGGAACTTCCTCTTCTCAACAATGTTCAATATGTAGCTCATGTCAATATCTGTCAACAAGAGAAATTGATTCCTTGTATTCCAGGAATTTCATGCCCCTTACTGTGTGTTAGCAATCATACATTACTTGGAATTAAGTAGAGGAGCTCAGCAATCATTGTCGAGTGTGAGTGACTTTATTTGGTATGCATTGATGAAGCAAAATAATACTTTCTTGGATCCATATTACAGTTTGTTTGATAGGAAATAACAGGTGTGTAGTGACCAATACAAATGGACTCTATCGGAAACATACAGTTGGACATGTATGTATACTTCTTCGAGAAAAACTCTCCCTTACAATCACTACTATGCTCGATGCGAAAAAAAGGGCCGATAATAGCCGGTTAAGCTCTAGACTTGTATTTTTAAACCATTGCAAAATTGCGATCATTCGATTATAATCGATAACAATTTTCACCATTATTTTACATAAAAAAATTTTAAGCTAAAGCTTTTACCACGGTTAATACATTTTGTGAATCCCCTATATGTATGTATATGTATGTAGTTCTTCACTATATGACTGGAAATAAAAACCTTTAGCCAACTTTTTATTTCAAAGGACGTATTTTTGATATTTATTTCCGTGAATTTAATCGCTTCCTGGCGGCATAAAATGTACTTCGTAGAGAAATTTTGTTTTAATTCTTACTGATGGATAAATTACGTTTACAAAAATATCAAACACATTCACTTGCAGACAATGAATTTTTCAATTTTTGCCCACTTATGCGGCACTGTGTGTTGTGATGGCTACCCCTTTCTTCGGGAGACGTGACGGCCAGGCATATAACATTCAAAACTGCTGCTAGACTCAACTCCTTCTGGACGAATTTACTATGTACTCGGATCTGTACTTTGATACGAATTTCGAAGCCATTATAAAAGTCGATTAATAGCGGAAGCGCAAAGGATGGCTGACTTAGTGTATGTGTATTAGGGTGGTCCGAAATGAGTAAAGTCGGCATTTTAATGTTCTCACCCCCTAGGACTGTTCTATATCGAACAAATATACCCCTTTTTTATTATGAAATCAAAAAATATTTAGAGGTCGCTCAAAGCGCTTAAAGTTTTCTAGGTATTTTATATGGGGAAGAAACAACTTTTCATAAAAATGGCATAGAATTCCTGAAAAAATATTTTTGATTGGAAAACTCTGGTTTTCTTCAGAAGACTACCAATTACAATACCCAATTGTTTATTTAATAATTTTTTAACACTAAAGATTTTTTATTTATCCCCCATTGCGTGATCAGTTACTATGAAAAACTGGTTAAATAAATAATTGTGTATTATAATTGGGAATCTTTTGAAGAGAAACAGAGTTTTCGAATCGAAAAATATTGATTTCAAGAACTTTATACCATTTCTATGAACAGTTGTTTTTCCCCATATAAAATACATGAAAAACTTTGAGTGCTTGAGCGACCTCTACATATTTTTTGATATCAAAATAAAAAAATGGCGGTATATTTTTTGGGTATAGAACAATCCTAGGGGGTGAGAGCATAAAAATTCCGACTTTCACATGCATTTTAGGACCACCCTAATAAGCATACAAATGGGTCGTCCAAAATGGACAATGGTCGCACTGAGCCAAAATCACAATGGTTTTTGAACCAAGTTATTGTTAGTTTTTTTTCATGGTAAATAATTCGATTGTAAAAAATCTGATTCAAGTTGAACATTTGAAAACACATTTATATGACTGGCTGTAGCTAAACGCGCAGAGATGCTTGCTGTTATTTCATAGCTTCCGGCAGGTATCGGTTCGAATGCCGTTAGTAGCAACGTATAGCTTTTTTAATTATTTGAGTTCCCTTAATTACAAAAAAACATCTGTAAAGTGAAAAACAAAATCAAACGACGAAAAAAATTTATTCAAGTTCAACATTTGAGGGGAAATTTACAAAACGGCTGTAGCTGAGTGTGCAAGAGATCCTTGTTGTTATTTGCTAACTTTAAGAAGGGCAGGGTTCAAATTCCGCCAGAGGCAACGTATTAAAATGATAGTAAAAATTTTTGTTTTGTTTCTCCGAATTATGAAAAAGCATCCGTGAAGTGCAGAACATAAACGAATTCAAATGAAAAAATCAGTAACCAAAAATATGTTTAATGTAAACAAAAGTGTGGTTAATATTACCAAATCATTCTTGAAAATATCAACCATGGCATGTTAAGTAATATTAAACAAAAATCACTTTGATTCCTTTTCAAATTTGAATTTGCTAATATCAACCGATTTTTGGTTGATTTTTTTCTCAGTGCACCAAATTCACCTATGTAAAATATTCCTAAGTATTTAACAAAAAGCAATAAAATTGGAACACAATCCTTTGGACAGAAAAACTGTGGAGTAAAACGCAACTCTGCAGGTTTTCTAGATCCATGTGTTTAGCTAACGACAGCAAGCCCACAAAGTTTGTTTTATCCAGTAGTGGGGAAGATGCTAAGCTTCTGCAAAACAAACGAGCAAACTGTTTACCACATCCTCTGTGAATGTCCCCAGCCCTCTGTAGGCTGCGGTGGTACGTTTGCTACCGATTCTGGAAGCAGCCGCAAAAAGAGGACAGGTTCATGCTTTTGACTAAGTCTCTAGCATTCCTCACTTATCGCGTTTCTACAGAAACTTTGGATACATTTGGATCTTTTTAGCTTCTTATACTTTTTTATTGGTAAATATGAAATCCTTCTGTAGATTTAGCCAACTTCACCAACAAAAATTCCAATAAAGTATTCTCAATGTAAAGGAAGAAAAGCTAACAAATAACGCCAAATTACTCTCAAATAATTTTAAGTATCTTTTATTTCAATTCCTAACCCAGATCAGTTCATCACAGTTTACAAAAATAGTTTCAATCACCACCAGCATACATATCTATTTACGGAACACAGAAAAAGCTGGTGCAGCAACGACTGGCGCGGCGGCATAAGCAGCTGGGAAAGCGGCCGAGTGCGCGATGGAGTGGGCGGAGTAACTGCTGGCATAGGGAGCAATGTAGGGCGCATAACCGGCGGTGTAGGCAGCGGCTACAGGAGCAGCTACTGGGGCGGTGTAGGCAAAAGCAGCTGGTGCAGCCAACAGGCCAGGCTTAGCAGCACCGAAGGCAACAGCGAAGATAGCAAGGAAGCAGGCAGCGAACTGTAGGAAAGAAGAAAAGATTTTTCTTTTAATACTTATTCGTCTGTAAGTAATTAAAATTTGTATGTAAATGCAATCAGGCTCGCTAAACTTACCAATTTGAACATTTTGAAATTTTTTAGTTTTTGTGGAAGATAATAGTTCTTTACTAATGAAGCGGTTTGCGAATTGTGATATCAATTGTTAACAGACACGAAGTTTTTATACGAAAATCACTTAATAAGCGAAAAAACGCATTGTTTCAGTCTCGCGCGTGAACTTTGCATACAAATTAGATTTTCTGTTACCAAATAAGCGAAACTTATTTTTTTTTTTTGCTTTGCCTACAATTTGTACTTAAAATAAGTGGAGAGCTTTTAGCTTTTTTAAAAGTCTTCTTCATATAATATATTATTTGGTTCTGATGTATTCATACGTATATGGGGTATTCCACGTCAATTGGATAATCAATTTAAGTAGCCAAACATTTTGTAGGGTTTCTTGCTTTAAAAGTTAAAATTTTTAATGTGGTGGCTCTGTGTGGGGCGAAGGTCTTGAAGGTTTACCAGATACCCAACATTGGTCAAATAAGCAACATATCAAAAATCTTCCATATATCGCTAAAAGATATTCTGTTAAATCCTTAAAGAAAAAGCGAAAAAAATTTCCGAAAGAGTTGCTCTGCCAAAACGAAACATTTGATTTCTAGAATTTTTGTTCTATGCTGCTTGAAGGTATCTGTTAGTTTTTCACCGGTATTTGCAATGAATTATTCGAAGAAAGGGAGTTTATTTTTCTGCAAAAATTTAAAAAAGAAATTTCAACTTTTTACGAAGTTCAAAAATTTAGAGTGCAGATATTGAATACTCGTACAAAACTTTATTTCTAAAGAATCTACATATGTATGTATGTTAAAATAAGACGAAGCCAAAATGTTTATCGCAGATCGATTTTGAGCCTAATAAGTAGGTACTACTTGAAAATTTAGTTTTCCATCTCGGATGCATACTGCAATGCCACGTTTCAGTAAGCGGGGCCGCTGTGGCGGTAAGCTCTAATACGGTAGAAACATGGTTCGCCCAACATCCAAAAGGTTTTTTTTTGTTTTCTAATACCGATCGCCCCTAGACAGACAAAGGCAATCATCTGAGTGTATTTTTATTTCATAGAAAACCATCTGCGCTTGGGTGGCGACTTAAAACTGTAGATCCATAAATTTTTGTGACATGTTTGGGTTTTATTTATTTTTTTTCAAATATCCTCTATATTTTACAGAAATTTTTTTACTTTAAAGTTATCTACACAAGAAAAAATTTCTTTTGGTTGTTTTTTTTTTTTAATATGTGCATTAGACCGCACCGCCTTACAAGCAACAAAAAAAGTTTATCGTACAATCCTGAGTCAAAAGTTTCTTTGCAAGGCAATTTACACTTTTTCGTGCCACCTACATTTGGCGATAAAATTTTTTTTAAATAGTTCTACTGGAATATTCAAAAACTTGCTTTGGAAAGTTTTAATGATTTTTGGAGAACTTTGATTTGCAGACATTGGGGTGGTAGGAACTGAGAAGAAAAAATTGTCTCCTCAAGACAAGAATATAGATAAATCTTACTTTAAGATTCGCCAGTAAATGCCGAAGAAATGGTAAACAAGTTCGGACAAAAAAATTTCGAAAATATTTCAGGGCCAGGGTTGCCACTGATGAAAAAAAATACTTACCTTCCGCTTGGAAAAAATCTACCAAATCTGGAAAATATCTACCAATAACGCTTTTTTAGTTATTTTAATAAAAATTAAAATTGTTTTAAGGATCTTTTAATTTAACTAATTATACCTTCAACCAAAAGCGAAAGTGATCGAACTAAAGGTAACAACGAAATTTCATCATTTAAAAAAACCTCAACTGGAGTTATTATAGACAAATACAGTGACTCAAAAAACGCTTGGAGAATTTTTTATATTCAGAATGTTTTTCAAGTGAAAATTTTTTTGGTATTTTATTTTGTGTAAGAATATTTTTTTGCCGCCTGTCTTGTTTTTTTTTTTTTTTAACAATTGCGTTGATTTAAATTTTTTTTCCGAACAATCTCATATATACCTGTACATTTTTGCTTTTTATTTAAATAAGCATTGAAAATATTGAAAGCGCTCGAAAATTAATTCAATAACGTAGACTACACCTTTGGAAAGAAATTTTTAATATAATGATAACTACTAAAAATACAGCGAGAACGAAAGTTTTATTTGTTTTTCAAAAAAAATTATTACGCAAAACTCTACCAGAATTAGAAAAAATTTACCTTTTTACCAATCCAAATTTCTTCTACTAATTTTGGTAACAATTTACCAAAGTGGCAACCCTGGTTACGGCGAACTTTTTTCTGGTAAGTATTTATATAATATTTATGTATAATCTATTATCTTTTTCGAAAAATCGCATCCGAACGTTCTTGAAGAAAGCCATCTTCCACAATTTAAAGGAACTAATCAAATTGATTATATTAACACCAGCGGCTTGCAAAAAAAATTCAATTTTATAATCAAAAAAATGCTCCAGTTTTAGACGTGCAAATATTTGTAGGTTCCGTTTCGAGTAAGAACCAGTTAAAGAAGCCGCCAAATGAAAACAAAATTTACAAAAAAAAAAATTAAAATAAATAAATCAGCTGTTGCTGAGGCTAAACAGCGGGGTCACGTGACTGGCGTACAAACATAATTCATAGATACTACATTTACTAAACGCGAGAGCTAAGTCAAAGCGTCAAATACTTAAAAGGCCAAAAAATACGAGTGCAATAGCAACAAATAAGGATTTCTAGCGCAAAAACTGTTTTGCATAAAAATTTGATTAGCGCATGCGCGACTGGCAGTACCAACTACCTACAATACTTGTGCTCGACGTCGCCACTGTTGGCCGTGAATATCAACGCCAACAACAAATTGCGTAGCCTAAGTACGTGATTTGCTTCGATTTCCATTGCATTTTAAGCTTCTGCCATTTATTTGCACACCGGAATTTTGGGGAATTTACCGCTGCGATATCAGCTAAATAAATGCCAAAAATTTTGTAGCAATTCGTATGGTGGCAAAATAATTTTTGAATATGCAACTGTCAACTGGGCTAACATTAAGAAAAAAAAATAAAAATCAGAAGGAATTTTGCAAATATCGCAATTTGTTTATTTAAATTTGTATTTATGTACATATTTGGTATTTTATTGGCTCATTTGCCAAATTTGTGCAAGATCTCGTGTTCTGTGTATAAAAGGCCCAATCATGGCAGCACTCTTCAGTATATTCGTCTGCAGACGCACCGTAAGCGCACAACTTTAATTCTTTGCCAAAGGAATATTTCTACAAAACCCTCTAACAAAATGTTCAAGCTGGTAAGTGTAAACAAGGATTTCGCTGCTTGCAAACTACCAAAGCTAAGGACCTGTATTTCGTTACTCTTTCCAGTTCACTGCCTGCTTTGTTGCGCTCTTCGCCGTCGCCTTCGGTGCTGCTAAGCCAGCACTCCTGGCCTCGCCTGCCGCCCTGGCGTATTCTGCTCCATTGGCAGCTGCGCCTTTCCCTGCCGCCTATGCCGCCCCAGTGGCGGCCGCCTACACCGCCGGCTATGCGCCTTACATTGCTCCCTACGCCAGCAGCTTTACCGCTCATGGCGTCGCTCACTCTGCTGCATTCCCAGCCGCTTATGCTGCTGCTGCTCCATATGTAGCCTCATATGCTGCTCCAGCTGTTTTACCATCAGCACGATTTGTCGCTCCTGCGGCGCCGTTAGTTGCTGCTGCTCCAGCTCCGCTCGTAGCCGCTGCTCCTGCCGTTGCCCCAGCTGTAGCTGCTGCCGCTATTCCTGTGGTGAAAAAGTAAAGTTCTAAATTTTACGTTGGATTTTTAAAAGCGAAGTGCCCCTAGAAGCGTGAAAATAATAAAAATTACATAAATTGATTTGAAAAAAAAATGGAATTTCTCGGAGTGACGTGGCGAATTATAGGAAAATTGTGGTTTGGTTTCCTAAGTAATAGCTAGCTTTGCCTCAATATTCTATCAACTGTGAAAGAGTTTAGCGTCAACAGCTCTTTGAAATCTCCTTCGTAAATTACAAGATTATTTTCCTAAGCTAGCCTCCATGGGGATTATAAAGTCGCTATCTGCGAATATGTAAGCAATTAATGGAGGTGTCCTCTCGGATCCTAGTTCTTTTTAATTGCACCGAGGAGTAACCGAAACTCGGCTCCAAAAGAAGCAGCGAAAAACGGTTCCGGTAAAATCCAAACTCGATTCCAAAAGAACTGGAAACGAGTTCCGGATGAACCGCAAAATAATCTCAGAATAACCGAAAAAGTAAGTAAAGAACTGAAAACCTATTACAAAAGAACCAAAAAAGGATCCTACTGAAGCGCAAATCCGCACCATGGACAAAAAATTTACCCCTATTTCAGAATTCTATTGAAAAACACTCGATCCCACATGGTACCCGCTGTTGGTGGCAGAGGAAGAGAAATGCCTCGGCTGCGTTGGGGAGATGAGGTAGAGAATTACTTGGCTTGACTTGGAATTTTCCATTGGTGTCAGTTGGCACAGAACAGAAGCGACTGGCATGCTATGTTGAACTCAACCGAAATGACTTGGCCGCTGTAATGTAGTCAAAATATAACCAGACATGCGAGCCTTTGTACTTTGAAGTGGCTCCTTCGTTCATCAAAACCTCCGTCAGAAATTGGAGATAATTTCATTCAGTGAGAGATCAGGCATCAGACATATGAATAGGATCGGCGCGCCTTAGAGCCTCACTAAATCTTTTTTTTTTTTTTGAGGCGGCTAACGACTTTTTCTTTTCTACCGAAAAATTTTGCCTTCTCCATGCCCTCTACGCCTAAATACTAATGAAAGGCGAATTTTTTTGTAAAAAGAAGACGCGATAAGTCCTTGTCACGTCTTTTGGTATGAAGCTTCTTGAAAGGATATCTTGAGATGCGCACCTTGTTTACTATATTTTAAGCAAATCAAAAAAAATTTATAAGATAGTACCTTTCTTTTTTAGTTGGCTGCATAACTTGGCTGAAATTGTTATTTAAGACTATAGAATTATTTTCCTTGACCAGAACTTTGAATGATCCTGACTCTTTCTGCTATATGTATGTATGTATAAAATAAAATAAATGAAAATGAAAATGAAAAGAAACAAAATTTTTTGTTTCATGAATTAAAGCTTTTATTTATTAATTTCTTTTTTTTTTTGGAGTTTTTTATATTCATTTTATTTTGCATGGAAACATTGAAGGGACACGTAGAATTAAGAAGAAAACTTATAAAATAGTTCAGATAAAGCCGAAAAAAGTATAAATTATAAAAACAAAGCAACAATACATATGTATAACAAAACAAAGCTAATCAAGTCCATAAAAATGTGTCATCGCATATATTCCTTAAGTAATGCCAGTGTTAAACGACTGCATAAACCTTAACGCAGGAAAGCAGTAGCATATGGATAGCTGTAGGCAGAAGCATAAGGATACGAGTAGGCGGCGTAAGGTGAAGTATAAGCGGCTGTGTAGGCGGCGGTGTAGGGCGAGGCAGCCACATAAGGTGAAGTATAAGCGGCAGTGTAAGCCACTGGTGCGGCGACTACAGCCGGCTTGGCGGCGGCGCAAGCGAACATAGCGAACAAGCAGATGGCCAGCTGCAAAGGAATTGAAGGGGATAAATCGAAAAAATTTAGAAATTTAAAAATATAATTTTTTTTTTTTTACTTACGAATTTAAACATTTTTGAACGTGTATTGCGTATTATTGTATCTGTAGGATTGACGACTGTAAGCTGTTCTAAAACAACTGATGACAATTCTACTAAGCTTCATGCAATTTATATGTGAAAATTTTCACAGAATGCATATATATATTTTTTTTTAAATTTGTAACCCTTTTTTAGCCATTGTTGGCTTTTCGATGTTGGTCACTTGCTTGAGTTGATACACTAATCATTACAGCAATTAAAAATTCACAGCGTATCCTCAAAATTAAAAATATATATATATATTAAAATCATGCTCATTTGTTTACGTAGATATGTATTTATATCAAACGCAGCTGACAATTTGCTAGAATTTCTGCCAATTCTGTTGTCAGCGTCTGCGGTAACCGCCAATGCCGGCCAACGCCCGTGCCGATGAGCTGGAGCCAATATTCAGAATTTTCAAGGGAACTGCAAGTGACTACTATGTACATACATATATGTATATGTATAAATACTAAAAAATAATCAAAACATTTGTAACATTAACACTTTTGATTTCAACGCAAAATTCTGCTTTGCCTATATGTCACCATATCAATCAGTCAAGCGATCACTTACCAGCTCAATACTTGACTAGTCTTCCCTACGGTTTGTTAAAAAAAGAGTATTGAGTAATCGTGGCGATATGTGACGTGAATAAGAAAATAGCTGATCGTATTTATCACAGAAAATAATTGACGAGAAAGTAAATAGGGAAAAGACAGTTTAGCGAGTTTTTAGCTTCTTTTCTTTGATTAAAAAATGTTTATTAATGTTTCTTATGGCAATAAAACTTACTAGCTAAAAAAACCATGTGAATCAAAATTTCAAACTTTGTAGAACATTTATAAAAATTCGACAAGTTTCGATAAATTTAAATAAAAATTTTAAACTTTTAAATCAGATTTTTTTAGAATTGTTTTCAGTATGCAATTTTGTAGGCCATTAAATTTTAGTACAATAAAGTGCAAGTTTGAAGTAGCTAGAACTTACCGTTGATTTTTGGCAATTTTTGTTGTTCGCGCCTTTTCCGCCACATACAAAGTATGTTCGACCATGTTTTTTGTATTGAGAAAATGAGCAACACCTTTAAAAAAAGAAAATTGCACTTTGTTTTACTTAAATTGATTGGACTACACAATGCAAACTCGGAATATTTCTTAGAAATCTAATAAAAAAAACTCAAAATTTTTATGAAAATTTTTCGAATTTTTGCTAAATTTTATACAACATTTTTAATAACCGCCGATTTATGCGGAATAAAATATTACTTAGTCAAATGAAATAAATATTTAAAAAAACAACTACCATCATTGATTTCAGTTCATGGATTTAAGCTTTTATTTAGCGAAAAATTACACACATCAACAATATTTGCGATTGTCAAAATTTTCTATGCAGGTTCCAGGTTTTGAATTACATGGTTTTTGTTAGCTAACGAGCTACACTTTGATCAAAAAATAATAAACATTAAATAGTAGAAAGAGAAATAGCCAAAGAATGAAAAAATGTATCTTCCCTAGTTGTAGTTTCGCCACTGTATAGTTATGCATATACGTATAAACAAATATTTATTTACATTTTGTTCTAGAAATACTGCTTCTTCAATTTATGCCCATGATATTCATTACATTACGAGAACTGAATAATTATATTACTAGCTTACTTGGAGACCTAGTTTAAGACAGTGTTTCTTAACAATTTCTACTTATGTAAGTAACATGAAACCTTAGCAAAAGTTTAATGATGAAGAGATAGTATTCTTATATTAGTCTTCTATACATACATCTACACACATAATAAAACTGTTTTAGATATAAAAGAAAAATTAATACGGATAGTCCTTATTAGACCTTAGAGAGTTGCCACCTGTTTGAAAATTGCAGTTTAGGTAATTTGATAAGATAAAGTAAATATTGCAATATGGCTATCAAAAGAAAGAAGAGCTACAGTCGAAAATAAATTTGTTGGAGTTTGACAACTATTTGAAAATTTTAATTTAATTTCATTTAATTAATAAGATAAAGTGCATATTGCAATATGGGTATTAAACTGAAGAGAGGAAAGTTTACTGCCGAAAATTTTTTTGAGTTGGGTTGCCACCTATTTGAAAAATTGTATGCAATTAAATTGATAAATAAATGAAACATTAAAATACGGGTATCAAAGAGCATAATAATACTTTTATGTATGTAATGTAAGAAAAAAGCGATTTTAAACGCTTAGATAAACACTAAAACATTAGTAAATAAATTAGTAGTTGAATGTTTTGTTTCTTTTTCAGTTTATTTCAAGGTTTCGACGGAATTCAAAATTTGACATTTCCAGCGGTGTTAATGTATCGTTTTAGTTGTCACTTTTTTACTATTATTAAAAATAATGCGAATTAATTTCTTTTCAAGACTGAATTTAACTTTTTTTTTAATGCTCGTTATTCTCCATTTGAGTTAATGGTTTTTAAACTCCTCAATAACACTAATGCCTTCCCTCAGAGAAAAACCTTTGGTTTTAAATTTTTGTATCCGAGCAGAAATGCAATTGAAACTTTGAGTTAATAAAAAGCCAAATATGTTTTTATGTTATTATATGTAAATATTTCTTTAGTTCGACGAATACAAATAACGCCCAAGAAATGCTCAAGAAAAGTTTATTGAGCCAAATTTTCTTAAGCAGTACGAAGTTCTTAAGAAATTTGCTACTAAATATGGTTTTCTAAAGTTTTTTGTGACGAAAGAGCACAAAGTCACCGTTTTTTTTAAATAAATATATCGGGCATTTATTCGCAAGAAAAAAGTGCGACAGCAGGCTGTGAAATATCAGATGTCAAAATTTCTTGAACACTACTTTTGACTACTACTTACATTAAGATTGCGATTTCGATTGAGATTGGGATTAAAATTTAGATTAAGATAAAAGTTAAGATTCAGATTGCGGTGAAGCTAAGACTAAAACAAAGATTAAGATAAAGGATTAAAATTAAGATTAGGAATAAAATTAAGCTTAAGATTAAGACTAACATTAAGTCCTAGATTAAGATTAAGATTTAAATTAAGATTAAGTTTCAGATTAGGATTCAGATTCAGAAGGATATTCAGATTTAGATTTAGATTGAGAATGGTACTGAGATTAAGATTAAATAGGAATAAGTTGCACTTCAGGAATTAGCATTCATTAGATCCATATCCAGTGTAGCTCAAATTACATACATGAATGCTTTTCCATAGAATATATTGAGCTCTTGCCGCGAAAATTACGTAAACGACATTTTTTTACAAAATTTACTTTTTGATGCAGAAACGCTCTTAGAGCTGTTGAGGGCATTTCTGCATCAAAAAGTGAATTTTAAGAAATGTCTGTTGCGCTATTTTCACGATTAGGGGTCGATAGGTTGCACCTCAACACTCAGTCGAGTCGATTATAAATTTGGTAATTCGTGACACCCAATAAGTTTAAAGATTTTTTTTTAACGGATAGGAAGCGATATCGTCAAATGATCAACATTTGAAAATAGGTTAATTTCAAAAAGCCAAACGGGCACCGTAAAACGAAATGTTTGTGTAACACTGCCATATGCCGATTTATTTATGCGCACATCATATACTATACATATATGTAACTATTTATTCTAAATTTATAACAATGCACTGGCCACTAGTTAAAAAGAACCTTAAAGGCAACCTCGACTGAGCAGAGTAAAGACTACAAAACAGAAACTGATATAAACAGAGAATCGCGCATGGAATGACAATTTGAGAGGCAACCAACAATGCTACACAGTAATTGTATGTAATTTCCTCCATACATATACTCGTACATACATACAAAAGTATATATGTAGATTGCATTATTACGTGTTGATTCTACATGCACACACGCACACACACACACACCCACATAAACACATGAATAAATAAAACGAAAACGACAAAAAAAAAACGAAATTAAATTACAAAACATTCAATACTTTTTCCCCCTGTTTCATTTGGTTTTGATTGAATGCTGGCAGCAACATTTATTGGCTGGCATATGGTTTTCGAATTCACTGTTTTCGCATTGAACACCAGTCGCACGGAAAGCGCAGAGCGAACAAAAGCGTATAAAAAATGCTCAAGTTTGTAAGTTTTTTACATTTACAAAATCGTCACGAGAAGCATTCCAAAATCAAGAACATCAATTCGAGCGAGCCAAATCGTAACGAAAATCACAACAACATTGTACAACATAAAAACTTTAGCAACTTTTTGCATCACAAAAACAACAACGCCAGAACGTCGAAGGAGAAGTCATCACTTGTAGGCTACTTGAAATTCGTAGATGAGCAGCATGCCCAGGATATTCGTGATGCTGCTGCTGCTACTGCTACGACAACACAGTGCTGTAGCCACGCCGACGCCGGGCAATTTCGCCGATGCAGCGGAAACGATCGATGTGCCACCGGAACATCGTGCGCCACCACCCGGTGCTGCTGCTGCTGCACCTGCGCCACCAATTCCACCAGGTGTTGTTGCTCACCTGCCCGGATTTGGACCACGTCCGCCGTTGCTGGCTGCTGCTGCACCACTCCCACGCGGCGCGTTCCCTTCTGTCGTCTTTCAACCGGCATTTGCCCCATTCGCCAGCAACTACAATGGGTTCACGGTGCAGCATATATCGGCGGCAATGTATCCGCGCTTAATTGCACCGACTGTTGCTTACCGGAGTGTCTAGCGGAGGAGAACGACGGCGGCGACGGCGGCGACAGCGTTGTGGTGCCAGCACAAAAGCAATCATCCCTCTCCGCTACATGTCGACCCAAAACTTCATCCTCGCTTAACTGCAACAACACCTGCTCGGAGTGCTCTTCGCAGGTCACAGCGCAGCAGCCTTCATCAAAACTAACAACAACAACACCATCAACAACACCATCATCCATTCTGCCGCCATTAACAGGAATTCAAATGAAATTACAACACCTCACTGGCGCCGCCACAAATTGTTGCTGAGCTGCTGAGAGTTTACTTGGTTCTTGTTTCGCAGCTAATTATCAATTAAAATTATATCAAATTACTTGTTATTGTTGTTGCCAAGTGGTTTTGTGCTCATTCGAGTGTTATCGTACATATGTACATATAATTATTTACTGTGTATTTAAGTTTCCAATTTTCATGCCTGCGAATTTAATAGACTCATTTTACTCGGAATTCGCAAATTTCTTACAAATGACTGTACGATAAAAATATATCTACATTTTACCGCAACACACTTCCCATACAAAAAAAAAAAAAAAAATTGGTACTGTGTTTCCATTGGAATTATAAAATCTTTTATATTTTAAGACTTTCACCAAAATATTTCGCAAAAATATTAAAATTTACGTGAGCTGGACCGATTTGAAAATACCTCCAAAAATGGAGTGATTTATGAATAAAAATAGTTTCTTAAAGATTTTTTGAAAAAAAAACGGGTTAAGCTAAAAAAAATTTTCATTAAAATATTTAAAAAATATTTAAACAAATTTTTGAACGGAATCGTAATAATGAGATTTTTGATGCTGTTTTTTAATTTTTTTTTTCAAAGATTGGTATAAGAAAACTTGTCATCTGAGGCAATTTTTTTTCAAAAAGCTCTTTAAGAAACTAGTTTTATACATAAAAACACTATTTTTGGTGGTATTTCCAAATCGGTCCAGCTCAGGTAAATCTTAATATTTTTCCGAAATATTTTGGTGGAATTCTTTAAATATAATAAATTTTGTAATCCTGGCGGAAATCCGCAACTTTTTTGATGATGCAGTCTAATCTACATACATACGAATTCGCACATAAATATGTAATTACTCAGTCGTATAATTTGAATTTTCTGTGAGTTACGTATGTACATACATACCATACACAGGTATGTATAATCTGAATAAGTGTTGCTGATTTCCTTATTTGATTTTTCATTGGCAATTTTATCATTATTTCGATGGTTCGTAAACAACAAATCGGTATATTAAAAGTGTATTTGGCTTTCCAGTCACATTCTTGGCATTAATTTGGATAAATTTGGCTTCTAAATTGACCATTGGTGTTTCCAAAAATTCTTCCGGATTTCGTCATGCCTTCGCTTTCAGTGAACAGAAAAAGATTGTACGGGATCGTTAAAATGTTGAAGTATGATGTCAGGAGAAAAAATTCTTGGAAATGTCAAAACTCTTTTTCAGAATTTAATAATAATAGTACGATCTGTTACATAAACTACATAAATAACAATTTCAAAGGTTGCACAAAGTTCTCAAAAATTAATTACCTAAACTTGAAAAAATTTCATCAAAACTTCAAACTTTTTTTTAAGAATTTCTATCAATTTTTCGGGTGTGCAGTTTTGTAACCCATTCAATTTCAGTATAATAAAGTGCAAGTTTCAAATAGCTAAAAAATAACGCTGATTTTTGTAAATTTTTTTGGTAGAGGTTGTTGAGCACCCTCTACCATAAACAAAAAAAAAAACATATAACTTAAGGACGAGCACACCTAAAGTTAAACATAGTGAAAGATAATATTAACACAAAACCAACAACAAACAACAACCACATTTTATTAACCCAAAGTTCATTGACCTTAAGTATTCCGTTCCCGCACTTACCCACCAAATCTCAATTCGCATCACCCTAACATGCCAACCTAAAAGTATACACTGTATCAAATAGCTGAACGAAGAATAAAATTCGCAGTCACAATTAAAATACACTGCAGTATATGAGATTGCACACAAACAAAGCGACGACGAAGCTCGTCTGACGAAATTCGTTGAGAATAGATTTATTTTGAATTTTTTATTCGCTCAGCGATTTGGTTCGCTTTATACTTTAATATCAATAAATTAAAGCTCGGCAAATATCACTAAACTTTAGCTATGGAATTATTTCAACTATTTCAGTGGAACTATTTATTAAAAATTAAAATATTATTGCCGAATGTATGTGCCACCGCAAAAATTTTTGAAAGCGTCCCCTAAGTTTAGCTAAAAGAAATTTGTTTTGAAATCGCCTCGCAAAAATCCTTTAGACTTAAGGGTTTACAACAATATATATTTTTATGACGTAATCAAAACTCAAAAAATAGGTAAAATTGCATCTAAAAAACGCAATAAAAAAACCAAATTAGGAAGGATCTAACTTCACATTTTATGAACTGGCGTAATATGTAATACGATTTCCTAATGTTTCTCGAATCAAAAATCAGTTAAGAAAACTATGTTAGAATTCGTTTAGAGAATGATTAGAAAAATACTAGAAATTTCATTTTTTCTGCTAAAGAGATAGAGTAGATTCGATTAAGAATATCCACGATTTAGCTTTCCCTGATTCCACATACACAAATTTCATGTTGCCTTTTTTTAAGATATTTGCCTTTTTTGCCTTTTGCAGGAAAGAGTTTTACTCATACGCCATGTACACCTGAAAATATCTGGAAAACTAATCGATAGAATAAAAAATTAACTCGACTTTCGGAATCAGCGAGCAAATCTATATTGGAATTGGATAGGTAGTGGCGTCCGTTGAACATTTTTCCTGCAAACCAGTGATATTTTGAAGTTTTTGGCTTTTTTAGTGCCTTTTTTTGCCTTTTTTGCTATTTCTAGTGCCTTTTCCTGCCTATTTCGCTATTTTATTTATTTTTTTATGTGAAAGCTTTTTTGTACTCCTTTAAACGCTATTTGCAGCTCCCAAAAATATTCACACGAAATATTTTTAATTTTTTCTTTTGCTTTGCTTTTGCTGTAAATCTTGTTGAAGAAATAAATATATGCACCAAGGCGAATTCATACAAGGTATTTTTACCGGAGCAGCTGGTTTCAAGGCGAATTGTGCTGATTGTCAGAATGATGTGTTTTTTGTACATTTTTTATACTCTGACTGTCAACGTGCGTATAATTTTTTAGTGCAGTTTTTTGTTTTAATGCTCCCGCTATCAGCTTGTATGAATTCGTCTTAATAAGAGCATTTGATTTTAAAAGCTAAGCTAATTCTTGTCCACCTGGGCTTTCCCTCACAGAGAAGGCCTTGTTATTCCTCAGCTACCAGCAGCAGAATCCGCACTGAATATTTCCAGTACCGGAGAGTTTATTTAATCAGTTCTTGAAATTATTAACATCCAAAAAAAAATTTAATGATGCAATAAAATTTTCCACACTTGTTACTTAACATATCTGACATTTCCCAGTCATGCGAAAAAAGGCCACTTAAATGCAATTAGCATAAATTCCACAACATCAGTTATTTAAACTTACTAAAACAATTTTTGGTCAACAATTTCGGGGAATTTATTGTTATGCCATTTAGAAAATCTTCAACAATGTAGATATGTAGCGAAAAACTGCCTACATAACTAAATATGTAAATGATTACAAAAATAAAGAAAATGAAAATGTGTTTGCAAAGCAATACGTTTTCCTTAACGAGAATCCAATTTAGTTGCCTTTTTCAGCTTTTGTCCACTTGTTGCATCAGCCCTGAGTCATATTTTTCCATTTAATCGGTCAATTAGAATGCCACGGTGTAAGCAGCGTTGTAAGGATAGTAAGAGGCGTACGAAGGATACGAAGCAACTGGGGCGCTGTACGCACCGGCAACTGGGGCGGTGTAAGCGGCGGCAACTGGAGCGGTGTACGCAGCGGCAACTGGAGCGGTGTAAGCGGCGGCAACTGGAGCGCTGTAAGCGGCAGCAACTGGTGCGGTGTATGCGGCAGCAACTGGTGCAGCAGCTACGGCGGGGGCAGTGTATGCGGCAGCCACGACGGGTGCGGCGGCAACACCATTGTAATTGCGGGCAATGTACTGTGAACTTTGGGCGGTCACAACACCGGGCGCAGAGTAAGCGACCACAGCAGGTTTAGCTGAGGCGCAGGCGATGAAGGCGAGAACAGCGAAGAGAATGCACTGTAAAGGTAAAGATGAAGAAGAAAATATTAAAAAACAATGTTGAAAAATAGAAAATATTTCCGGCAATATGTATTTACCGATTTGAACATTTTGATTGTTGATTTTTGTTTTGCTGCAGAAGTTGCTTACTAGCGAAAAGCCGAAGTTGTACTACGATTCTATAAAAAATTTGAGGCATCTTTTATACTTACTAAGTAACATACAAAGGAGGGGCAGCGGTAATTTGTCAACGCCTGCCAGTAAATGGAAGAAGTGCGATCCATCTGCCCGCCAAAATATTTAAATTCCTAAAATTCGTTTTATTCCATTGAAGATTCATACATATGTACTTTATACGAGTATGTACAGATGTGCTGATATACACATATATACTTAGTAAGCTGATCAACATTTAAACGTAGCACACTTTTGATTTCAATTGCCTTAATATTTGCCAACATTGGTCTACTTTGCATTTTGTGATATTTGCGCGTTTTGCAAGCATTTTTTGTGTTTTATTTTTTTTTCCTTTTACCTATTTGTTGTTTCAAGTCAACCGCTTTATCCGCCTTGTTTTGTTGGTCGTTGTTCTACAGAACAGGTCTTTGATCCAAAAAACGACTTTGTACATCAAAAAAATCCATTTATCAGTAGCCAACGAACGTACTTCAGTATGTAGACCAGACCCAGCCAACGACCAACGACCAACGACCAAGGGCTGTGGCGGTGGGGTGGCATGAATTTTGCATGCACGGGCGGTTGGCAATGATTTGGACACAAGTCACAATAAGCTTGTGTGTGTGGCTATTGCCAGCGTACGTGTTCGCAAATACAAATTGTAAGCCAACTACAAGTGCCAGCCGGCCAAATTGACTACATGACTGACTGAGTGACTGATTTATAGCGAAATGGGGCGGCGGGAGTCGTATTGTAGCGCACAAGTGGTGAGCAGCTGAGGCAAGAATGTGCATTTTGCATAGTACACGGACTCCACCACTTTATTGGTAGGTATACTACCCAGTGTTGCCAAGTTTTGAATTTAGAAAAGCACAAAAACCCAAGGAAAATCGCGTTTTTTCTCGAAAAAATCACCAAATTTTTTATTGCATGATTTAATGGACTTTGTATGCATACAGAATTGTATTGTTGGTATGCCGATTCAATTTAATAAAAATTAATGTTACTTGCTCGGCGATCGAAGGTTCGTTATTCATTTTACTGTTAGGAGATGTGGTGCTTTTTTAATATTCGTAAAAAATATAACTAATTCTGCCCAAATTAAAGGTCTAAAGATCGATTCCTGATCCTGTAATAGCAAATTACCGTAAGTAATTCTGGCATGACTGAAAGTGCTGCCACATATTTTGTTTTTAACACATACTCTTTCGTTTATGATTGTCATTGTACCATGATTTTATTTCCATTTTTTAAAGTTCCTTTCATTTTTTCCTTTCCATTTTTGTTTCAGATTTACAGTTTTGGTGTCTTCAAACTAAAAAGAAAAGCACCAAAAAAACGCGCCAAGCAACAAACTCAAAAATTTTCGCGTTTTGAATTAAGAAAAGCACTAAGTTGGCAACAGTGCTACCACCTTGGTAGTACAAAGCTCAAAAACACCATTGAAAAAATATTAATAAGCCACAATAAAATTGACAAATAAGCTGTAGTTTTATTTCATTCGATTCGAATCGAGTTTCAGTATAGGTTTTCGCGGTTTTGACATTAAGAGCCACCGAGGCGAAAATTCACCTCCTCTGGCAACACCACCTTATTCGCCTTAATTTATCAAATTTGAGTAGTAACTATCTTTTAACGTTGCTTTTAAAAATATCCACCAACTTCTACCGTTTTTTGTATGTAAAATCTATCACTATCAATTTTTTCGAAGTCCGTGCACTGATTATTCATATATTTACATACTTACATAGGTATTATGTAGTACATATGTATGTACGTTTGCATGCGAGCAACAAATTAAACAGCTGCTGTTGTTGTGGTCTGCTACTGAATTCTACATTTTCAATGTCGTATAATTTGTACAGTGAATGTTTATTGCAAACACGTACCGTAACCAACTCAAAGAAAATAATGTCATATGAGGACTTCATATTGACTAAAGCTGGGTATATGTAGTAACCTTTAATGCATCGAAAGATATTGCAGGCCGTTTGTGTTATTAAATATTACTCGAAAAGCTCTAATGAGTAAGAGATGAGCTACGTTTTTACCGTGAACCAAAATGAGACTGAAATGAAACACTCTCTGGGATTTCTCTCAGTAAAGTGGAATATTTTCGCAATTAACAGAGAGAAATGCATTCAGCTTTGGAGGCTTAGTTTTATTGACTACACACAATTATATCTAAGGACAGAGCTGGAACTAATATGGACGCTTTTGATAATACATCATACGAAGCAATAATCTGAAGGTATGACAAGGAAGGACAATCCTAAACACATAACCGACTGGGTCATAAGCATACTGAAATTCAGAACCATAATACTTAGTCGAACTAGAGGGTAGGGTAGGCAAACGATACCGGCCACTCCTGGGGGTCCTTTCTCCCATTTTGCGGACACTGGTTGTGGACGAACTTTAAGAAAGACTCAAAGGGAGTAGCTTTAATTCATATGGATACTGCTGATGACCTTATTACCTACGTGGCAGGCTGAGATCAGGGGACCTTATGCTCCAGGATGCAGTCTGCTCTAAACGTAACCCTAGGAAACTGAAAAGGGCATGTCAGTTAACCCAATGAAGTCCGTCATCATCCCATTTACCAAAAGAGGTAAGGCCAACAGGGACAGGGATAGACTTGGGTGTCCTAAATTCATTCATAAATGATCCTATAATAAAACTTTTACCTGTATAAACACCTACAAGCGAATATACCTGGAAGGGATACGTTTACTGATGGTTCCAAACTAAAGGATGGCAACACTGGCGCCGGCGTTTCTGGACCTAGATTTCAAAAAAGCATACACTCAACCATAAAGCAGGCGGAACCCTTCGCAAGCAATTGAAGTCCATGTCGACGAATATCATCTCAGAAGAAGTAATGGGGCAAAAATAAACTTCATGGCGGATAGCCAGGCAGCGTTAAGAGTACTTGACTTTTGCAAGACGGTGTCAAAGCCGGTAGACAGTTGCAAAAAGGTACTGGAAATACTAGGAACCAATAACAGTGTAACCTTGTGGTGGGTTCAGAGCCATGACGGCTTCAATGGCAACGATAGCGCTGACACTCTAATGAAATGCGGTATTTACCCAACAGAGCCTGCTCGGCCCTCAGCCTTTCTATGGTCCATCCAGAGGATACACGACAGAGCTACCAAGGGCATGGGAGGACTTGCAAATTGCAACCCAATGGCGCACAGCAAGGGGAAAAAGACAGTACGAAAATTCATAACTACGACATTGCTCATGCTTCGAAACGAGACGTGGTGCCCTAGTTCCTGACTGACTCGGGGTCTGGTACTTTATAGGGTTGGATTTCATACCCTTAAATTTAGGCTTTCAGAATACTGTAATGTTTTTTAAGTGGAGATCGCTGCCATCAAGGAAGCAGTCGATTGGCTTCTGCTGTGAGCGAATGGCGGTAAGGGAGTTTAACATCAACTCAAACAGCCAGGCGGCATTCAGAGCCCTGTTGTCATTTACGGTAGGCAGGTGAACTTTTTCTCGGTCATTCAGGCGCTCTCGTCGTCTACGCTGAGTTAGCAATTTGTGAAATAATCTAGGAGAGTGTGTGTCACAATTTCGGGTCAACACGAAATTTTGTTTGGGTCTCAAGGCATAAGAATAAACGTACATATATTTACGGAATTAAGACCGTGGATGAGCTATCGAGGTGCGGTTGTGTGCTAAACGTGTCTAACGCGCTGGGCATGGGCGCCTTGCACAGGAAAATAGAAAACACATGGTCGAAATTAACCACACAAAAGCTAAGCAGGGATGGAACCGCACAGGACGGAGGGGTATAGAATAACTACGGCACATATAAAATCAGGAGTTGACAAGAATCCAATCAACCGGCTGGCTCAGTAAAGACGGTGTGGTTGCTACTGGGGGAACAAGAAGGCTATTTAAGACGAACGAAATGTAGAATTGGACAACAAAACAAAAATTATACCTATCACCGGTTGGAGACCGGCGACTTCAACTCCATGGTGGGCAAGAAGGGAATATTTGGCGCCACTGTCGGAAAACTCAGCCTCCACGACGAAGCGTCCGATAACGGATTGAGGCTGATCGACTTCGCCGGGACCCGAAAGATGGTATTATGTAGTACTAGGTACTTGATATTTCCAATTGGCGGCAGTTGGCACCGAAGAGAAATAACTGGCGTGCTGTTTTGGATTCGGCCAAAATCGCTTAGGCGTTTACAGCGCCAATAAAGAAGATAGCCTAAATCTAAATATTATATCTCAGTTTAAATTAATTATGGGATGCATTGCTAGCTACAACTAAAAAAAAATTTACATTACAAAATTTTATAATCTATAAATATCGTATGCATGCGAGTAGATTCATTTATATATAAGTGCGAGTATACAAGACATATTCATTTACATATTTACAAACGAGTGCATATACCGTTATTTTCGAAGAGTACATCGAGCTTTCTCAAGCGTATATTTAGTTATATTATCGACAGTTTTTTTTTTTGCAAGTCGTCCAAGTACATACATACTTTTATGCACATAAAGACAAGCATATGTGCAATGAACATTGTACTATGTACATACATACATACACCAGTGCTATGTGCCGCTTTGAACTTATCTTTCAATTGCATGCGCTGAGCAGCAGCCGATAAAAATGCATTGGCTTATATTAAGGCGATCATCCATACATACATGCATACATATATACATACATATATACAATTTATGCACATGCCTATATCTGCAAACTTACATCCACTTCCTTGA